TCTTCGCCAGCTGTTGTTTGACAGAACGGATTCTTCCTGCAGTGTGCAACGACACAGCTATCAACTTAAGAGGCTTGACAGCAACACGCTATGGGGTCCTTTTTGCACTGTATTATAATAGGTATAACTGGTGGAGCATCTGCAATTGGTGTAAGACAAAATAGCAGCAAAAAAATTAGAAAGAAAAATCTCTGAAAGCAGAGTAGAGCACTAGTCCGTGGAGTTCGTTCTCTGTACAATAGCATAACTATGCATTATTTCATATTTGATTCTGTAATAAGTTGTTTCAGTGATATTGTATGTATCTTAGTAAGACTCAGGATATATTTCTTTCAGTATTTTGCATTTTTTATTTGCATCAGCCAATACCGTCCTGGGAAGCAGTGAAAGAAACAGCCTTATATTGATCTATCTTAATTACCGGGGTCAATGAAATTTATGGCTTTCAGGCTTGCCAGGAGCCATTTCTATGGCATACTGAGTCAAGCAATCACTGCTAATGTGAATAAATGATATACAGTTGTGCCAAATTGAGTACAAACATGGACGGGTATAAAATCCAGTTTGAAGCCACATGGCTAAACAAAGCTGTCAGAGCTAAGCAGTTGTTTTTAATACTCTGTCTGAACACCAGCTGACAGTGAATCATGAAATAAACCACTACCTGCTATTTTGAGTACGGCTTCCCAACAGGCAACACAGTGCTGTAAATATGAAAATAACTGCAATGCTTTGAAGATCTTTTCACCAGTTTCCTATTCTGTAGGTCTCTTCAGTACTCAGTCAACTTTCAGCATGTCAGCAAAAGGTTTAACAACCTTGCAATGGCATTTTCCATCATAGCTGAGACTCGGGTAAATTTGATGAATGCAGTCAAAACCACAGTCTGCCTACATAAAATTTAAAATTCAATCTACTGTACAGTACACACTGATAAACTTGTTGATGCTGATTGTGGGAGCAGGGCAAAGCTCCCAACACTTAGTAGATCATCATAATTAAAACATAAATTGGCGGTATTGAGCTGCATGCCGTTGCCAGTACAGGCTCCAGGGAAGCACTGATTCATGCATGCACTTGGAAACAATTGCTTTGAGTAAAATATATATATGGTATGCCTTATAAATAAAATCAATAGCAAAACAAGCTGCCTAAGCTCTTGAAATAGTAGACGTGGAATTACAATCATGCAAACAATGCTCGCAGTACAGCATGGGCAGATGGGAGAAGTGCACACTTTGAATGCAGGATGACATATAGTTCATTTAAGGTACAGTATGTGTCTCTGGGGAAATCCTTTAATAATACCAAATTATTGAATTTGTTGCTTTTCATGGCCCAGTCAGGTATTTGACAGGATCTGTTGGAAAAACCCCAGCACTGGTTGCACAAAGGTTTGTCAGGGCAGTCTTCATTTTGCTCCTAGACCTGTTTTATTTGAGGTCGACAGCTGCACAAAAACATACGTTGCACCTGTCAACCAAAAATGGCTAGCCAACCCACCCCCACACTGTCTCAGGACTAAGTGTTTTGTGTTGTTTCAGTATTTAGAGTCAATCACACCTGCTGACATCTAACATAAAGGAGAAAAACATGAACCGCAATTTGTCATTTACTAACAAATTTGTTGAAAAGCAATGAAAAGGGAAATTGTTTTTAAGCACCACCATGACCTCATGAAAGAGGATATTTGTTTCTATCATTTCTTCACTAAATATTGAATTTAAAATATCCTTGTAACTGTCAAATTCTTCCACCAGAAACATGTTTTTGTTGGAATGAACAGAGCTTTATCTCAGTCGGCCATATTTGTTAGTTTGAAAGCAGTCCTAATTTACCACAAATACACAGAAAATTAGCCCTACTGAAGATAGTCAAGAACAGAAAGCTTTGTGCAAACAGTGGACTTTGATGTGTGTCTGAACTCTGAATAAGCTGTAGTCAAAGTCTGTCATCTGATGATGGGTAATGGAAAGGATAAAGGTCTAGAGCAACCCTGATGCAATCTTTATTATATGGCAGTTATGTTTATACTGAACAAGAGCAAACATTCTGATAAATATGGACACAATGCAGGTGCTGTAAACCCTGGTTTTATATGATTTGCAAGGCCTTTTAACAGTAGCCATTTAGAAAAATCACATATATAGCTTGTGAAATAGCATTTTTCTCTATGTTTCAATTGGAGAGAATATACGTTCTCCTGATTTCTGCACAGCTGCTTCATGTAGGATGAAAAGTGGTATTTGGGGTCTGCTCAGGAGGTTACCTGAGGAATAATTCAGTCAAGCAGAGTTGTAAAGATCTGGCTAATCTGAATTCATGTTCAAGGTTCACTTGTCAACACAATGCAGATTTGTTTCATTTCTTTGTAAAGCTAATGTAGCGTGAGGAAAGAACAGCACAAGGGTTGTTATCTGCAGAGATGCCACATGGTATGGCTGAAGGAATTTTCCCTATAACTGGGCGCACACCTGGACCCTCTGCTCCACATTTAGACTTTTACATCATGAAATGAATTGTGAATTCAAACCAACCATGCTGCAGTAACAACACAAACTACAGTTAACTATGAAGGAAATTTTGTACTTGAACTTTTGATAGAAATATGAATGATAAATTAGACATGGACTATAATTTTTATGTGCAATTTTTGTTCGAATCCAATAACAATATTGTGGGCAGCGTCCTTCACTACTGACAGCCTGGCACATGAAAAAAGGGATGCCAGGAATGAATGGAAAAAAAGTAAGAGAGGACAGAGAGAAGAGCAATTACAGAGGAGCACTGGCATGAAGACAGCTATGGCAGGAGAAAGAGGCTGCACAGAGAGTGGGCTGGATGTATAGGTATAGGGAAAATTGGATAGGGAAACAACAGAGGGAGAGGAGAGACAGGCAAAGGGAGATAGCAAGGGCGGAGTGGCAGGAGAATGAAAGAGAGTAGAAAGGAGGGAAATGAGAGATGGAAAATTGGAGAAAAGCAAAGGAAGGCGGTAGAGGAAGAGCTTTTCCTTCCTGTCATATACTGTATCCACAAAGAGGCTTTCATCCAGCCTCACATCAACGGCCTAGATTGAGAAACCCTTTTGCAAACACCACACACACAGAGATGCACACAGACACACATTCATCATGCCAAAAACCATCCTTTGACAGTAATCACCAGTCTACCTTTGGTATTACACAAAACCTTTTTATGCATTTTGTTGCTACAATGAACTGCTTAAAAAGGAATTTGGAAAATTTCCTCTAATTAAGCCAAAATTAGTCTGAGCCTGTTGAATATTGAAGTCATTCTAGCTTGTGCAGTAAAGCCATTTGTTCTTCTTCTGTCCTACATGAAATCAAAGGGACACTCACACGAGTATTTTAATACAGGCAGACAGAAAAACCAAACCAGTACATGTGAGAACGTACCTCTAAACCTCCTGATAAAATATTTTTCCTTATTGCCATTTTAGTAATATATATGGTCAAATGAAGGTTTTGCTAGTTACATGGACAGTAACACCTGAATAAGGATATACACATCAACACACACTGAATAAATGCTATGAGCAGAGAGGAAACAAAGGAATTAAAGCAAGCCTGACTAACAGAGTATGACATGTCCAAGGCCTATCGCTAGTTATGCCCCCAGTGCTACAAACTGTTCCCTCACTATGAGCCACTGAAACAGAAGAGCAATTACCACTAAAACCACCCCAGGAGTGAATTGAAAGGAGGTGTCAGGATACGGAAGAAAATCTTTACTAATATAGACACCCTACTTTTTGGGGTTTATATAAACATTCTACAATGGCTTTTTAGTCTGAGATTCTAATGGCAGTTAACTTAAATGGCATTATTTTAGTTATTTTGATTACTATCTGTGTCCTCACAGTTGCATACCAAGCCTACTGGAACTACAGAGTAGTGTTTGCATCAGTTTTTGACTTCATTAGTCTCCTATGATGGAAATAAACGGGAAGAGATAATCCATTACTTTCTGACAGGAAGATTTCAAACAGTACTTGTGTAGCAAGGACAATATTGTATATGTCACAAATTCTGATGCAATGCAGAGAAAAGAAATGATCACATCTGACTGATTGTCTGGGACGGTGTGTAAGCTAATCAGCTCAAGGAAATGGATTTATGTCTATTAAGCCAGAAGCAATTTAAAACTGCACTATGTAAACTCAACCACTCTCGGGCCTATAGTAGATTTCTTTGTTTGGACTGGAGATTAATTAATTCAGCCTGACTGTTTTCTTTTGGACCCAGCACTTGCTTACATATTGCCCTCTGAGTCTCTTGTGATTAGCTCACGTTCATAATGTAAAACCAAACCCAGTCCTATGATGCCATTTGGGTAAAACAGAGCAAATGAATACCATCTCATTTTTGAAACCTCTGTTGCATCCCCACTTTGTGGTTAATGCTGATAAGAGAGTGTACTTTTATCTCAAAATGTTCCATGATGTACCCATTAGATTTTGACAAGGTGGCTCTGTGCTTAGTAAACACAACCATGCATTCAGTACTTCAATAAGCAGATCTCGTTCATTCTGCAAACATGCAGTATAAACAAACACACTGAAAACACCCACATAGATTTATGTTGTCATCAAGCACGCTCACTTAGATTTGTGGCACTCTTCTAGTTTGCCTAAAATGCACTATTGCATGGGTAACGGATGATGAGTGAGGCAGAGATGTCGCAGCGTGCCATTTATCTCTGTCAGATGTAGTTGAACACAAGTTCTTATTGGCTGGGCAGGAATCATGATTGCTAAAGCGGCACCCCAGTCACAAAGACCAAGCTAATTAAACAGTGTGGGAGAAAAAGCAAGATGCCTTCACACTCTACCCTGTGAGGCATCATTCTGCTGCATCCAACAATAACACAGTCCTGAGACTGTACAGAAATGGAAACTCCACATAATGTTCCAGGAAAACATCTTTGTTGTGTGCTATACAATAATTCTTGCATGAGATGTAATTGTAAAAGCTTACCTTTCAGCACTCAAGCAACCTTCCCAACAGTTCAAGAGCTGCAGAATGACAAAAACAATTTAGGTTACGGTTTACTTCTGCTGTCATAAAAGCTGGAATGATCAGAAGTTGATGTTATTCATGGGAAATCGTTGGAGAGGCGTGGATAAAGACAGCAGTAGGTTTTGTTGCTGGAAAATCATTTTAATCTCAGCTGCAGCAATGTAGTGATCTGCTGCCCTGAGCTGAGCACTAATTCAGAACTGCCATTGCTATTTAGAGTGTAAAGGGCAAACATTTATTATCCACTGATTACATTTGGCAGGCATATGTGTCTGACACTTCAGCCCTTGTAATTTTCTAGCCTGTTACAAAAACCCTTTCCTCACCACTGATATTCACTCAGTGCTTGAATATGGTGTCTTTCATGGGTTTTACTGGGGCACAAAAAAGGAGTTTCGAGAAAAAAAAAAAGGAAAGTGGTAGTTTTAGGGGCAATGAACAGCTTTTTAGTTTAGTACTAATTAAAATGTGGGTGGCACTCAAAAGGTCACAGATTGACTGAAAAAAGGGGCACAGCATTGCTGATTGTGTGCATAAAGCGCTCAAGGTCTTGTTGATTAATACCAAGTTCACTTTCAAAAGGGGAATCGAGAGAGACGGGGGAGAGAATTAGTTGTGTGACTGATAAACAGCACATTGCCATGCTCTGTTCCCTTCCCACTTTTTTCCAGCTGGGAGATAAAATTCAGGCTCGGCAATGGTTGCCAGTGCAATTGATTCTGGCAGAGGAATATGCCTGCAGAGTATGAGGCTAAGTATCTGAATAGCTGCTGTCAAAATGCTGAGGGGGAATTTATTCCTAGTTTATATGCATGCTGCTCTATATCATGGAGTTCCAGAGACTGGGTGGCTACAGTCTGATGTACAGTACGCTGCCATTTCACTGGCGTATAATCAGGAAGCTCTTCTAGGCACAGGTGTATGGCTGCTGTGACCAATCCTTAACATTTTTAAATATAAAACCATCTCTGAACCAGTGCTGTAATTACCATGAACTAAATACTGGGCTACCTGTTATCTTGATATGTGTGACATTTTGCAAATCTGAGAAGTACATCAAGTATATATCAAGTATATCATACTGTAGCTTAAAAAAATCCATTTTGACTTAGTCTTCTCTCCTCAAGATGATGTTCAGCATTGGTTGTCTTTAATTAGAGAATCTAATGCAAGCAAGAAAGGAAAACAAAACTGCCAGTCCTATTGTGTCTTTCCTCCTACTAAAAATCTGTCTTGTCCATTGGGGAATGCAAAAAAAGGATTAATATGTAGAAATGAGAGCTGTCTGTCAGAGGTCCTGCCACCATTCATAGATGTATGGCTAATAAGTGGTCATGAAAGTAGGCTCTCTGGTATTATCAAAACCTCAACAGGGCCAGTTGGTTGGAATTAAAAGCAGAAATAATTCAGTTTTTGTTTTATACTGAATACGGTGAGAAACAGAAAATAAATTCCAAATTAAACCTCTTGACCCAGTAAAAAATTGAGGATAGTGGTAAACATAGGAATGGGTTCTGATAACCAGCTCCGTTTTAGATTTGTTTCCAAGTTAGTGAAATATCTCAGTTTGTAAAGATTTGAATCCCTTATAAAGTCTGTCATTCATGTTTCTATTTAGTTATTTGGTTTACACTCTTTGGCCTCTCTGACAATACAAACATTGCCAAAGTTTCTGTATATAAACCGGTTTTAATTGCTCTGAAATCAAAGAAACAGCTGCAATAAGTGACATTTACAGGATGTTACTCATGGTAAAGGGAGAATGACATGTCCTTTGTTGAAAGAGTCACCTAGTGTCCAACATGTTAAAGTATATTTCATGATGAGTGCTCGGCCTTAGTTTGCTCCTGGTGATGGTGTGGTTTGTCAGATACGTAGCAGAACAACAACCAATTCACCTTTAAGTAATGCCAGCTTCATAGTGCAGCAAAATATCAGTGATTTATTAAACTGATATTCACAGGATGATAAAGTTGATATAATATTTAATAATGATTCAGAATGACTGGGATTCAGTAAGTGGAATTAGATTTGGATTTGATAAAATGCTATTGATCCCCATCAAGACAACACGATGGTTCTTTTAATGGTGCTCAAGCCTGTCTTCATGTTATAGTATGCTGTAAGATAGAATACAGTTTGAATACTGTTTTAACTAGATAGTTTATTGTTATTTTCTTCTCAGTGTAAAGTGAGTGCATTCCAACCTAAAACACTCCACACCAGCTAATGTGTTTCACAAGCACTGTCTATTCAGATTGACAGATCCTAGATTATGTCTTAAATACCCCCCATGTAATGAAAGTAGTATGTGGAACAACTGGGGAAATAGACATAATGGCCTTCATAAAACGCCATCTGTTGCACAGCACAACCACAGCAAGGCAAGATTAGCCAGTGAGGCTGAAAGAGTCACATTATATGGCACCCACAGTGTTCCAATGCAAAATGCAGTACTTTTATGTCACTGAATTTGAAATGCTATTGTGTGTTCACAATGATTTCACTCAAAAGCAAGAGGAAATATGTCTTAGCTATTGTAATTAATAGAATGATAAGACTTGATGGGAACAAAGGCTACAGTAGATCAGTATGAAAAGGGGAATGAGCACAATGTTGATGTTTGACATTTCCATTTGTATCTGTGACACGTGATCAAACTAGCAGGGAAAGCGATACTACCCTGCTGTGTGTAAACATAGTGTGGGGATATCAAATCAGATGAACAGTGATTTGCTGCCTACCTACTGTAAATAACCCTGGCAATGACAGGCCTTAGTGCTCCATTAATCCCGGCACTAATATCACCACCCTCTCCTTCACCTGACCGTTTTTTTTTTTTAAAGAATTTCAGACACTTCTTTTTCTGCACACACTGGAGTCAGGGTTACTGTCCTCCCAGCCCCAACCTCACCCTCAGCCCCAGCCCACCAGCGCTTCTTGATCTGTTTTTTTTTTTTTTCCTGTTAGACATTCTGTGTCCATTGCCCTCCTGACAGCCACCCATCAACCTGGGTGCAATTTAAAAATCCCTTCAACAGGTGCCATTCCACAGGCCTGGCTATCAGTCCAGCTGCCAAAGCCCAGACAGGGACTCTGCTTCAGCAAGCAACTTTGAAAGTCAGGTTGGTTCCCCCAATTCCAAATGGACTGAAGGTGAAAGACTCTATTTCTCAAAGATTGGTTCAGCTGAAGACAGGGTCACTGAGCTGGGGTTTCAAGGCAGTAGTGCTGCTTCCTCCCTAACATGTTACAGCCAACATCTGGCATGCACTGTTGTGGTCTGGAGACAAATTGTTTGACTTCATGCAGGCAGATTAAAATGATTTAATAGCTCCAGCATAAAGCAGCGTGTTGAATTATATTTGTAAACATTATGATGTTTTGGGAAACAGAAAAGGCTCTTGGGAGAATTCTGTGAGGGAGAATATTTGTGGTTTGCAGAGATTTATCACTAGCCTTTGTGTCTGTGTTGGAGCTAAAGCAGTGTGTGTGTGCCTGCCTGCGTGCGAACATTGCATACATTGCTTGTCTAAATGCACACATTGCCTGAAACAATCAAGTGAAAACAGCTCAGGCCGGAGGCTAGGCAGCCTGCTGCTGTGCATTTCTCTCCACCATATGTCTCTGTCAAAAATATTTGCTGTGCGCTGAATGAGGAATGAAATCAATCCAAGTGCTATTTCCCCAGTTGCTGCTCCTTGAAGGCAGCAAAAAAAAAAAAAAAAAAGGTACTGATACTTGCCAGATCAGCCCACATTGTCAAAAGTAACAACTGGCCACCAGTGACATTTGCTGACAGACCATCTGGTCTCCAGTGTCCAATAGTCATTTATGGAAAAAATGGAATGGCTGAAGCCTTTCTTCTGTCTCAATTAGCAACTAGAAGAAATAGATGTGAGAACTGCACTGGTGTTATGGACCAATCAGAGATGTGTATAGCGCACATCTCCAGTTGGGAAATGCTTATGGACCAATCAGAGATGTGTATAGCACACATCTCTGATTGGGAAATGTGTTGGGGTGGTCTATAGGCACCAGTGGGATAACGTTTTTCACTTAGAATGACTGAACAGATGTACTTGCTGGCCTTCATTTTCCTTAATTTCACTACTCAGCTGGACATGTGGTACACTGTCTACACTGCATGAGTGCCTGAAGATAAAATCAACACAACAGTAGGGTTGTCAAGTTGCTCTAACACAGAATATGATCTGGTAGTAAGTGCTATTAGTTATATTTACAATTGAGCTTTTCAGAGTCTGTTTCTTCAACATTTAACATTTTAATATTGGTCTAATGTGAACATTTACCAGCTACTGCTGATGCAGAGGTCTATTAAGCAAAAGGCCATTGCTTCTGGACCAGTTAAAGCCATTGTGTCGTGGAGTCTTGCTGTCCACCAAAGCTTTTAGTCCATTGTGTAGCAGCAGCAATTTTGCCCGTAGCCATAAGACCACATGAACAAAAGCTCCAGTTGGCTGGATTATATCGTGGTGTACCAGGGGGTTGTACACATGTTTTGCATGGACTAGGGAGGGTAATTGTTGGGTCCATTAACATGAGAGAGGGCTGCAGCTTCCAGGCTGAAAAATTGCCCTAAGCGAGCTGGCATTATGAGGAGGCATCTTCCCAGATCCCATTCAGCAAAGGAAGTTAATGGAGTTGAAGTAGGTTGTCTAGAGTTAAATTTAATCTGCTGCCAATGGAAAAGCTTTGATGTAGCAAAGATTAAGCAATTGTTGTAATTTTATATATAAACCCAGAGCACCATCAGCCTCAAAGAGCAACCTTTTTAATATTTTCTTCCATCAGTGGGTGTATTATTCAGTTGGTAGCAATATGCAGTGAAATACAATTGAATCTCTTCACCATGTTTGAGATATATGGAGAACTGTATTGAGCGTTCTTTTTAAACATGGGCCATGGCTGTTTTCATGTTATAATCTAGGGCTGTAAGTGGCACAACAGGCTGCACCATCCAGGCTGACTGTAA